TGATGGTCTTTCGAGACTTTCATGAAAAAAAAGCTGGTTTATAATTTTTTTCCGATAAAATTCTACTTCTACTGTACTATGCTTACTATTCGAGTTTATGAAAAAGAGGGATATACTATATAACGCGCATGAAAAATCGTAAACAACTAAATATTTCGTAAACTGTTGCGTTTTAACATGATTTATACTACCAATACTAGAAATTTAAAATGTCTATTACGGTCGAAGCTGGATCTTCGTTGCTTAAATAATTCAATCTTGAATTACTAATATATACTATATTATTCAATGTTTTCAAAAAAGCTATCTTTTGACGTCTAACATGACCCCCCACCCCCACCCGCTGTGGGTGAAAGAGAGGATAAGTTTAAAATTTTAAATGGGAACTCCCATTTTTTATTGCAGATTTCGCTTCTTCAGAAAAAGTTACATAAATTTTACCTATTACAAATTTTTTTTGATGACAGATGGCGCTGTAATCAGCGAAATTAAAAAATGAGTCTAAAACATTTATAATATCTCAAGAAATTTTAAACTTACCAAGGTCGTATGTTATTTGAATATAAAAAGGTAGGTTCTAAGGTCATATCTTATTTGAATAAACGCTTTCTCATTCAGAATTTAAAAATTTATTTTTTATTTCACATTACGTTATGTTATTGTCACCGATTTTCTAATTGTGCATCTAATTTTTGTTCTAATTCAGTTATATTAACAACATAAATAAAAAAAATGTTAACCTTAAGTTTCTTAAAGAAGAAATTGCATAGAAGGCAACTATTTAAAGTTGGAATAATCATAACTTTCAAATACCCAATTAAAAATATATATTTTAAATAATTTATTTGTATTGAATAAAATTCACAGTTAATTTTGCATCGGAGGTGATTATATAACTGAATAAAAAATAAAATAATTATGAATATTCAAGTGCAATAGTAATTAATTAGATTTTACAACATAGATAATGTTTTTATAATTTAAGCAACTTTTTCTATAGTCTGTTATAGATGTTACATAAACTAAAATGATATGAATTTCCAATGTAATAATTGATACATCTAGATTTTATTATAAAAAATTTGAAACTTTGAACGCGTGCAGAATATTTAGTAATTATTTTAATATTGAGTAATTTTGGTTATTATAGGTAATTTTAGTGATTTTGCAAGTTATTCTTAGTTTTTATCTTGTAAAGTACATTGTAAATAAAAATTAAAATTTGTAATTCACATACAACTCGTCTATTGCTTATAAAAAGTTTTAGAAATTTTAAATATTTAAAAATTATATTTGTGAATATTAATTAAAAAAAAGAATAATAATAAAATACAAAATTAATTTGATAATCGCCATTTTAAGAATAGAATTTAGAAAATGGTGTTTGATTGTAAACTATGTGTGTTGACTAGAGTTCGTATAATAATATGAATACTAGTTGTGACAACTGACTTATACTTCGTTAAAAATTTTCTTACATCTAAAATTAAAATTTGTATAATGTTTTTTAAAATTATCTCAGTGCTGCATAATGTATATTATTGTGTTACACTACAGATACCGTAATAAGAAGTCATGTCCGCGATGTCGAGCTGGTCCTTGACATTAGTTTGTAGCCGTGCCATCAACTCACAATTCTCCAACAAGGCGATTTTCAATTCAGTATTGTCTTGGTTTTGTTGGCTAAAGCATTTTCTATTTGTTTGCCACAGTTTACTAGTGTCACTCAAGTGATTCAAATCCATGTTGGCTATTTCTTGCAATTTCTTGGTTTCCCGATATTTGCGCGAATTGGTCCGAATATAAACTAAATGTGTTTACTGGTGACGGTGAAATGTGCCACTCTTTAAGTCTTTACCGGTGCGCACGCGCTGTATCCGCAGATATTTAAGCTAATCACCTACTTGTCTCATAAGTTCTTCAGTTTTAATATTTCATTAATAATTATTATTTATTATTTTAACTTTGTACTTGAGAAGTGCATTTTTATCTTTCTCCTTTATCTTTGGTGAACATTTTTCAGACTAATAATAATTATATAAATTTGAAAATTTTTTACAATTTCTATATAATTTTATATTTTTTACAAAATTTTCCATATTTTTTATTGGCATATTTTCCAAAAATGCTAAGAAAATTTACGTCGCTTCTAGAATTCTTTATACATATAAATTCTGAAATATTTTAAGATGTCTATTTTATAATTTTATAATTTTCGAAGAAAATATAAAATCTAAAGAAGTTTAAGGTAATAATACGCCCGTGTTGAACTGATCTTAGGTTCAATTTGATTCGAATAAAAGGCATATGTAAAGCAGTCGTAGAATATTTTTCTGACAAGCAACTGTTTTGATGCTGTTGAAGCATTAAAACAGTTTACGAAAGTAAAGCTCATATAGCACATTTAAAAACATAAGGTAGTAAAATGTAAGGAAATCGTAACATTGAATTTGCTATTGACCTTACTCTCTCTGTGATTAACCAACTTGTTTACTGCTTACTGCCTTATGTTTTTGTATGTTCCATAGGCTTTAACGTTTTACGTCAACGAATTTCATTACATTATTTTCTTGGTTGTCCGCTGTTATGTTCCTAATAATTCAATTCATAATAAACGTTTTTTAATGAATGAGTCCAGTTTCTACAGTGTTTTTTCCGCGTGAGCGGAGAGTATGCATATGAGTATCGTAGGTACTCTGCAGAAAAAGGTGCGGACGCGCAACAATTTTTTTTTAATCTCTATACATTTAAAATATGAAAGATTCTTAAAAATATTATGAAATATAAAATTTTTTTGCTAGGAATTATTTGAAAGTAAATTTCTTAAAATCTTGATGCAAAAAGACCTACGGAAAAAACTGAATTAAACTATAGATTTTATATATTAGATTATAAACCATTTTGATTTATAATCGCAAATATTTTATGATTTTTCATACACACACACACACACACACAATCGTCTGAATCATTTTCCAAATCAATGTTTGTCTTGAAAACAACATAAAAACAAGAATGCACACAAAATTAATAAGTATAAATAATATTTACTCAAATTTAAACGTTTTTTACGTTTTATAAATTTTGTGCAATAACTTATTAAAATATTCTAATAATGTGCAAATGTTTGTTTATAATTTTCGCACAATGTACGTTACACTCCTATAGCATTGGAGTGTATGACACTGCAGTTGTTAAGCCATCAATTTAACTGCATTTCGTGATAGCATTATAATAGCATTTTTGGATCTACATAATCTTATAATACTGTAGTATGCATAGAACAAATTTATCGCAGCTTGCTAAGTTTCTTGCAACATATAACGCAATGTATGATGTTTTTTTCAATTTTTTTGAAACAAATATACTCGTTACAATTGATCGAAAATGATTATAATTAATTTTTCTTTGTTCGAATCTTTATATTACATATATGAATATTTTAATTTAATTTTGTCGTCTTTAATATGTTAAAAGTTTTTATTTTCTATTTATTTTGTATTTTTTGGAAAGGTTTAATCATGAAAATTAACACGAGTTTCTCAAAAAAATTGGTTAAAATTTCGTTCAAAAAAAATTAAAAGTACAGACATACATATCTCCATACTAGTTGCAACGTATATTTAAGTTATTGCATGCATGTTACGCAATGCGATTTGTGAAGGATTTACGTTATAAGACGTCATTTGATTCCATCTCAGAGAGGTCTTACGTGAACTTGCCAAACGAGGGAATAATTTTAAAGGTATTCCTTCATTTGATTGCGATTTCCGAATTTCTTTAGCTTTATGGTTATATGAATGTGTAATGATTGCAAAATATTGCGTCACGTGATGATGCGAGATATAATATCCACAAACGCCTTCTAAAATTATACATATAATTTAATAAAGAATTTTTTCAGAATTTTTTATCAACTTTTTAGTACTGCATTTTCTTATTTTTACCAACATGAGAAAATACGGTATTAAAAAATTCTGAACAAATTCTGAAGTAATTCTCAGAACTTTATGAGAAGAAAATGAATAATTTTTATTTCTCGCAGTTTTTTTGTAAAGTTGATAGTATTTGAGTAAAAAATTATGGAAGACTAATTTTCGGCAATTTTTAACAATTAATATATTAATATCTTATTAACTATTGCGAAAATTGCAAAATGGTAGAAGACTTTGCTTCTCAATTTAGTCCATTCTGTCCCCGTGTAAAAGATTTATCGTTACTTATCAAACACTCTGCATATTTTGTAACGCGAACAAAAATATTAGTAAAAAATTAATAAAAAATAGCAAAGTTCTTCATATCAGGATTACGAATAAAGTTTAAGTTTATTCATAATTTTTTGAATTCGTTAACATATTAGCATCTTAGTTATTTGAATCATGTAAAATTGAAATTTTATTTTTCTAAAAATATTTCACGATTTTTTAATTAATACATAGGCATCGATTACTGTGACAAACACATGTATTCGAAATTCTTTATTTGAGTTACTATTACTTTATCAAAAATATTATGGAAATCTCGATGTGTATTATTATATAAATTTTTTTATGTCAATTTTCTGTTCGAATGTTTTTCAATTTTGTGCGAGTCAACGGTGTAATATAAAATATTTATTTTAACATATTTTATTCGACGACAGTTTATTTTCAACTGCCTCTCATAATAGATAATTTAAAATAAATAGAAATATTAAAGAAATTATATAGGAATTTAATATCTCGTAAAACCGATTTTTCTGGTTTTGAAAATTAGATATTTGTAATGACAATCAAACTCAATAATCTAAGAATCCTTTTAACTTCTTTAGGTGTTGTTCTGACCGACCGGCATGATTTTATTAATATCCACGCCAGGAAACAAGAAAGAAGCTTTAGAGTTTCAAGACGGCACTGCTCGAGTGCCAAAAATAATCGAACTGGAGGTGAACTTCGCGGCCGGTTTGTTCCGCAGTAGACATACAGTCAATCGAGTGTCTGATCTACCACCGTGAGCTTTCGTATATCTGTGCTTTTTCTAGAAAGTTGAAAAGCGTAACGTTCCATTATAGGAACGAATAGCGCGAAGATTATAAAGAAAGAGGAAACGGACGAGGCGAGTTTTGTTCATGCCGAGTGCAGGTCGATGTTTCATCTTTTACTTCGTGTTGGTGTTCGTCGTATGTCTGGCTAAAGATGCTCACATGTGAGTTCCGCGTAGCGTTGTAAAGAACGCAAGTCATGAATGTGCTTTGAATAAATCCATTATAAATCAAAAAGAAAATTAAAAAATTAGAAATATAGAATAAAAATATCAGAAAAATTAGAAAATGAGTAATATTTACATGCAAGATTATATTTAGAAGATTTGTTTTTGATTGCCTATTTGAACGAATTTACATACATAAAATGGAGATAGACTAATTTGTTAATTAATTATTATACGAGTATTTATCTTTATACACAGAAAAAAATATTTCTTTGGATATAATAAATTCTATCGTATCCAAATAAATTTGTTATTTGAAATGGTCCAAACAAACCAATGTTTGAATCAATAAGTGTGATTGTTTGAATTTGAAATAATGTATATCTTTGTCTTAAATACATTATTTGCTTGAACAGATAATATTTATATTCAGTATTCGCGTGATCAACTGTACGGCACAAACATAATTGATGTAGCACATAGCACTGCTCATTTAATTCTGTTGTTAGACGTATAAGCCATTGTTTCCATATTTTCGGTCAAAAAATGTAATGACTATTCTAAAAAAAGCAATTATTTGCATGGAATAACCTAACCTCTATGAATATATTTTACCATTTTCAAATAAACAATTTGTTTCATTGTTTGTATTCATTGTAACCAAATAATATATTATTTAATTAAAAGATATTACTTCAAATAATAATGTTATTTCTGTCAAGCAATAGAGATTTCTCAAATAAAACAAGAAAATTTTTATTCAAACAAATAATATTTCGTACAAGCATATGTTGTTTCAATAAAACAAATTTTAGTCAAATAAATAGGAATACTAAATCCAAAGAAACCTTTTTCTCTGTGTAGTGTATTTTAATTTGTACTACTTATTATTATCATATTTTTCAATTGCAATTCCAATTAAATCGGCTTTCCTGGATATTTAAATTAAATATATTTGCAATTTCGTAACTCTCACTAGCGTGGCCAGATGGGCGGATAAATTGGGTACTGAGTTATGGGAACTCGCGAACGAAGTGGGCCGGCCCGAGGAATTGCTAGAAGTGAGTATTCGCATTTACTTGAAATAATAAACTTCAGATACTGAGAATTCAAGAAATCCTCTCTACGCAAGATAACATATTTTTACTTGATTTTATTCAAACAAGAAAAAAGTCGAATTACAATATTTCTTTAATATAGTTTTGTGATTATTTGTAAAAAGCAAATCTACATTAATTTTAATACTTAATTTGTAATTCATTACAGTGAATTTATTATAGCAAGAAGAAATATCTTATTTTTTAAAAAATATCTTAAGAAATATCTTATTTTTTTAATGATATAAAACCTCTGTATATATAATTTTCTAAACACCTTTAATTTATATATTTTTAACATACTGCGAATAAAGCATATAATAAAAAATATTAATATTAAATAAGTAATTATTAAACAAATAGTTAAACAAGTAATAATTCTTTTAGAAATACAAAAACATGAACGCACGAGTTGAAGATAAGTCCGGAGAAGAGTTGATCAATATAATTAGCGAAAATGTAGGTAGGATGTTGCGTCGAAAGATGGACGCAATCACCTGCATTCGAATAGCAGCAGAAGAGGCTGCGGAGAACTGGGACCCATCTCTCCTAGACGGCAACTTCTCCTACGTTTCCGGCAAATGTAGTCCTGTCATCGGTTATGATTCAGCAAACAAGAAGAAACACTGTGACATTCACAAGAAGAATGTGAACGTGTTCAGGTAAGCAATTTACTCTGCCTCATTGTACCTTTTTTTCTCTTCAAATTGCCGCAAGAAGTAGTTACGGAGTTATTAAGGTTAAAAGGCAAGAATTTTTGCGGATTAAAATTGAATCATATAAATGCAACGTTATTAATAGTGGAGGAACTTGTTGTCATAAATGTTAGACAAGTAAGAAAAACTAACAAAGGTAATTCTTTTACTAATTCTTAGAATCTTTTTTATTTTTCTGCTAAAATGTGCGTAATTAAATTAAACTAACTGTGTATAAAATCAGAAATAGCATATTCTATCGATTATTATATTACATTTTTCCTTACAATTTTTTCCGACATAAGAACATTTAATTACACGATTAGATTTGTACGATATTAGTCAAATTGTAAGATAAAAGGATCATAAAAGTTTTTTTTCTTTTGCGAAAAATATTTAATTATTCAAATCTATAATTTAAATACAAATATTTCTACCCCTATTATTAAGTCATCCTCAGACATTGACGTTTATTTGAGGTGAATCACTCAAATTTTTGAGAATTGTTCTCTTTTTTCACTACATTTCATATTTTTAACTTTAAATATCAGATTCCGCTTCAGCCTTGGGAACCTGATAGTGACTCATTAATGACAGATTGTTTAATCAACATGGATTGTTAATTATGTTTAACTTGCTGATGATGACTCCAAAAAGAGTGAAAACGTCTAAGATTTCGGAATAAAGATATACATCATTTACCAACTGAAAGTATAAGTGAATTAATACTTATGGCTCTCTCCTGACTGCTCCTGACTCGCGGCGGCCATGTTGGAATCGTGACGTCAGAAGCGAGGAATGACACGTAAATTTACGCACAATGTCATTTGTAAACAAAGACAATTTGGATAAAACGAAATGACGGGATCGCTTTAAAACATTTGTAAAAATCGATGACAACTGTCCTTTCCTCCCTTGATACCTAGTAAATGGTCGTAAAAGACTCGTAAAGTGAGCCTATATTCTGGCAGAAACACACGGTTTCACAACTGTTGAAACGAGTTAAATATACACTTTTATGTATATAAAATTCCAAGATAACTTTTATATGTAAAATTCCAAGATAACTTTTATGTATAAAATTCCAAGATAACTTTAGTTGTCATCGAAAATTACGACTTTGAGAAGTACGAAACAAGTCACTTTTCACAATTAAGCAAATAATAACGAAATGACATTGTGCACAAATTTTGTCGTCAAAAGTGGTCGAAATGTCACTTTTCCACGCCTATAAGTTCGGCCATTTATCGTGGTGTGGCGCTGTAACACATAACACAAGCACGATCCCATGTTCATGTGCTCGCAGGCGAGCACACGGACATGGGCTCGTACTTAAGTGTTTAGCGGGGAGCACAGACTCTTGCATAACGCATAACACGTAATGCATAAGAATATGTACCAATCGAAGTTCTCCGTTTCTTTTCCTTCCATGTAATAGAGAACTCTGGTTGGTTCAATTTCTTATGCCTCATGTGTCATGCGTTAAGCAAGAATCTGTGCTCCCCGCTTTTGGCTACCGGTTTCGCCAGACCGCCGACTGATTCTGTGTCGCCACCGTCAACACAGAGTTCTTGCCTCTTGGCTGAGTAATCAGGAGCCTTATGCGCACCTTTTCCCGCGCTGACTTTCATTACCCCGGATCTATAATAGGTGTTTTAAGCCTTAAGCCGTAAGAAATTGACCAATTACAGTCAAATCCGAGAAGAATAAGCGACTGTGATTCGCCCATTTCTT